TGTGTGCATAACATCTACCCTCGCTTTGTCAATACGTCTACTTGAGAAGTATCCGCTCACTATGTTTTCTAAGTATGGGGATACTTCCAATTTTTCCAATATTTCAGTTATTACTCTCCAGCTCGCGCAGTTGAAGGCATTTTTTATGTCCAGAAAGAAGGCCCCAACAACTTGCTCCTACATATGGTAGTTAATTCCGTGATCCGACTGACTGCGTCTATTGCAGATTTCCCTTTCCCAAACGCATACAGGTGTTCAGACAAGCCCTCTTTATCCATGACCTCATTTTCTAGTCTCATCTTTATAGGTATTTCGAAGATATTGCTAATTGTGCTTAAGAGACAGATCGGTCTAAAAGCTCCCGGTTTACCAGGTTTGGGAATAAGTAAGAGATTTGCCCTTTTCCATGATTCTGGGAATTTATGATATGATATCTGGGAATCTCCATCATTATCTTTATAATTTCTGGTAGAACTCGGTCGGGTCCAGGTGCTCTCCCGGTCTTTAGTGCTTTTCTCGCCTACATCAGATCCTCTGTAGAGAAGTCTGCTGCCGGCGTCCTTACATGTAAAGATATGAAAACTATCTTGTACGCATAACCCCATATGTCATTCTCGAGGTTATCGCATACTTCTTTCCAGCACCTTTTCTTTCGTTGTTAATTTCTTTTGCGAGTTCTTTCTTTAAAGTTTTTAATCGCTCTGCATCTTCCTCCACTAACTGGTTTTTCTTTTTGTCTCTAGTGAATTATTTTCTTGGTTCAATGTATCCTTTTCTTATCCCCTCTATTCTGGTTGTCCACCAATATGGGCGGCTGTGTATTCTTCTACCTTGTGTGCAGCACCTTCTGGCCAGCTCTTTGATTTTTTCGTATCCCTCTTCATAGTTGTTTTAATATTCTTATATTGCATTTATTTCTTCCTTTAGTTTCTGCTTCTTCTACCATCGTTAGTTTTTTATGTTTTTTCTTTTTTTTTTTTTGAGTACGATGTGTGTATGATAAGTAAATATATCTCCTTCTAGTACGTCCCATTTAGCCATTTTCCTCCTCATGGTCCCGCAACTAGCGTGACATCTATTTGAGGCCAGCTGTGCCCTCTAATAAAGGTTGGTTTCGATACACCCGATGTGGATTCCGAGGTCCAGGATTATCAATCCCTCGTTCTTAAAGCATATTTCGACTCCTATTTCTCTGTTTCTGATATAGATTGCTACGTCTTACTTCTTGTCTATAATCCATCTCCCTTTGGTTGTAATCTTTTTATTGGGTTCAGATACTATTAGTAGATCCGCCCCATTCCATCTTCGTTAAAGAATTTCCTGTACTTCGTATAGTCGTTATGTTTGCTGTTACATATGCTACAATAAGGTGTATTTTGTCAATTTTTCACATCGTGCCCTTCTTTCCAGCTGTTAAAGCATTTGTCTTCCCCTTTTCTTTCCTTGCATGTGTTTCTTGTGTGTCCAAAATGAAGACATGCATAACACCTCTTTGGTCTGTATTTGGGGGCCACAATTTTGCATGTTACCAACCCTATTTTGATCCATCTATTGCTTATTAGGGTTCGGGCTGCTTTGGTGTTGGCAATTACTATTGAATAGTATTAATTGTTGTAGAATTATTATTGCTTCTCCTTCTTTCTAACCCTAGTATTCTTTCAATGCTCCAATCACCTCTTCGTCATTCATAGTTTTATCCTCTTCATAAATGATCAAAGTTTTGTCCAGAAGTCTGTAGTTGGGTCTTTTATTTTATTTCTTTCTCCTCTCATCTCGAATTTAAGATCACCCTTCGCGGTTTCCTTTATGGTTTTAATTCCTACCCCGCTATTTGTAACGTCTACCTTATTTCTTACTTTTGTACTACTTGTGCGTATGTTTTGTCTCCGCGTTTTATTAAGATGTTTCCCATTTCGTATTTTCGTTTAGATTTGGGAGCACCATAGTAACGGTGTAGAGAACATTCTAGGGCCTTTCCTGTAATTCTGCCATATCTTGTTCATTTGTGCAGAACAAGTTTTGATCCTTTTTCTTCCTTTAACTTCTTTTAGGCTTCAGCCAAGTCTATTGCCGCATCAAAATTCTCTGCGTCTCCTTTCTTGATCGGTGTCGAGTATGCCCCCTGGTGTTGTTACTTCTTCCTTTCCTAGATTCATATATACTAAGAATGTAGGTCGTACTACTTTTGCATTCCCTTATTATTCTATTCAGACTGGTATGGTCTTAAATCCACTGCATGGTGTAGTTGTCCATGTCGCCTTTCGTCTTGTCTATTTTTTTTACATCTTTAAAGAGAAGAAGGAAAATCTGCATACAGGCACCTGTGACTCACACAGGTAGTGTTCGGTTCCTAGTACCCTTGCGAAGCTGTGCCAGGGCGAGATGCCCAATAAACTTAGACCTTTGACACCTCGTCCCGTCACCACTCCGAGACGCTCGATGTCCTACTAAAAACCTCTCCTCTGTCACACCAGACATCAGGATTTAAGGGCCGGTTAAGACAAACATTTCTCCTGATGCCCTGCTACCACCCGATTCCTATTCTTTCTCCGACATCTTTATCGAGGAAACCACACCCACACGAACCACCAAGAATTTTCAATCCCCTGCCTTAGCAAGGCTGCCATCTCTCTCGCGTCGTCTGTCTCTCATTTACTCTCATTTCGGTCTGCAACAGACCGAACCCCACCAAGGTGCTACTCGCTTGTTTTAGAATTCTGTTGCGAGTTCCCTCTCCTCTCGTTCTTTTGAAGAGAGCAGCCCTCTGATAAATTTGTGGGTCCGTGTCCACCACCACTCATACCTCATCATTTTCTCCACCATTTCTCTCACGGAATCAAACATTCTGCAGTTACACTCTCTTACAAACTTCTCTCTTTCATCCGCCCAACGTTCACACTCCAACATCATGTATGTCACAGTATCCGAGAAACCACATTAACGGCACTGATCGGACTGAACCCTTCTTAACCTGAAGTAACCTGGTAGCTGCGGAAGCAGCCATGGCCTGTGAGCATTTGCGTTAGATAATAATCCAGCTGCCTATGTCCACAGTCCACCCAGCTTCGAAGGTTCGGGATTAGTGACTTCGTCCACTCCGCTACATCACATGTTGCCTCCCACTCTTGTTGCCACTGACCGATTGAAACTAATCTCTCGGCCAGTCTTATCTCATTCATTTCTCGCTTTCCAATGTTCCGCCCCCTACGACTGTGAATCATTGCCTTTTCACCTGCCATCACATGTAAAGGAACGCAGCCGGTGATAACCCACAAAGCGGCAGCTGACACAGTCCTGTAGGCACATGCTACCCGCAGCAGACTAGTTCTGTCCACGCGTTCCATGAACCTCTCTTAAGTTGATATTTCTACCGCCTCACTCCAGACTTTGGCAGCGTAGAAGACGACAGACTGCACAAAATCGTGGAGCGCCCTTCTCCTTTCGGATTTGGGACCACCGATATTAAGCATTATCCTCCCCAGCGCAGCTATTCTCTGAATAGCTCTGCGGGTCACCACCCTCAAATTTTCCCCCAACTCCCACCCTGGTGAAGAGTAACTCCCAGATACTTGCTCACTCTCGCTCCCGCGCACTCAAATTCAACCCTATCTCTCTTCCTCTAGCCTCTGAGTACTACAGCCTCCATCTTATCCTCCGCGAGAGAAAGATCATGCTCACTCATCCAATCCTCAACTAGGACACACGCACACGCGTAATCCGAAGCAAGAGTGCCTCCCTGTCCCGTGCCGCCTTGTCTACTCTAATTGATATATCTTTGTGCGCTGTTGGCGCTATTTCTCTTCTTTCTACAGTTTTAGTTATTCTGTTTTCTGTTTCAGTCTCTTTTTCTAGGGTAGTAATAATATCTCACTCAGTTTTCTTTCTCCTTAAGCCTATATATTTTTCAATATCTCCTTCATATGCTTGTGTCCCCATTTCTTTCTTTTACACTGGTCCTTCTTCACTGTTTTTTTTTGTTTATACGACTTCGTCTTGACATGCGTTCGCTTTGTTTCCTTGTACAGGCGCATACGAATATATAGCATTTTTCATATAAAAAAGCTTGCACGTCATTCAAGATTTACGTCTTCAGAACCCCACAGCGTTGCCAAAACATCAAAACAGTTAGTAAGTGAGAAATTTTTAAAATGTCAACTATTTGTCAAACTATTATATTAACAGTAAATACACTTAGTTTTAAGACTACTGCAACACATTAAAATGCATAGGAAAACATTTTAATACAAAATTATATATTCTAAATTTTAAACTTACCTCTTTTAGGGCTTTAATAGTAAAAACGTCCCGCCATTATTTCTTGTTCAAAATAATCTATCTTATATGAAAGCTTATCAGCTTTCTACGTATTTATTTGTTTTGGCATATCACAATACACAACAATAATTAGTTTTTAAAGCTATTAATCTAAATTTAATATGTATTTATAAATACAATTTATTAATATATATGTTATATTATGATCAAATTGTGTAAGAAATCAAAACATAAACAGAATTCCTACTCTAAAAAGCGTCACACTTATACACTTTTGCCACCCGCTGAACTGTCAATAATATTTAAAGTATTTCCGTATCAGTTGCGTACAATTGTCTAATATATTTAATTAAAATTATTATTTTGTGGAATATTAGACCAAAAGAGTTATTTCATAAAATTTATATTATTAATAATAACAAATGTTTTTGGTTATTTAATCAATATAATTATAAAATTTCCAATATAATGATGATTACATTTTTTGATTATTCCACCATATTGACGCCTATGAAAGATCGAGCAGTTCCGTATGGGTTTCGTATTATTAGCTGTGTTAGGAAAATTTGAACTCTAAGGTTGATGTTCTGGAAATTTTAAATACAAGTGACGTCACTTGGTAGAATGCGTGACGTGCAAGTGTTTTACTTTGAAAAATGGTATACGTCCATATTCGTTGACCGAATGTCAAATATATCAAAGGCAGCTTCTTCTGTGAAGGTTTGATGACAGATAACAGGTTGACGATGACAGGCAATTTAACCAATAAACAAAAATATATAACAATAACAAACAAATTAGACTTTAAGTTGAAGTGAATATATTATATTATTCTTGTTTCCAAATTGTTTATGCAAAAATGGAAGTTGGCTCAGATGTAACCTTTTGCAATGAAATATCTATGATGATGTTCGGCTTTGGTGACAGTCATAAACCAAACCCAGAAACTGTTAGGCTTGTGGAAAGTATAGTGTTGAAACAGCTCAGGACAATTATCCAAGCAGCTCTTAAATATGCAGAGGGAGAAACCTTAAAAGGGCACGAACTAGTCTTTCTGATGAGACATAATAAACACAAAATGAGACGGTTTGTAAAGTATCTGATTAATAAACAAAATCAAAAACAACTGTTTAAAAGTGAAATTGACTCAAATCTGGAAGAATCATCCAAAAATGTATTACTTGAGTTCATTGAAAGAATTGATGAAACTGAAGAATTTACAAATTTAACAGAATTAGATGAAATCAAACATGAGAGACAATTAAGAGCTGATAGAATATCACAAGCTTTAGATGAGAAAAAATATCTTGAGTTTTGTAAGGCACGATGCTCATCCTTTTATAGTAAAGGTACATCTCATAGGAGTTTGGATAAATTAAGACAGTGGGTTGACCCAAGAAAGGAAATTAGCTTTAAAGATGATGCTCTTGATGTTCTAGCTTACTATGCGTACCAAACTGTGGCTGAAATAACTGATTATGCACTTTTAGTTAGAATGGATGCAAAATGTGGAACTGACCCATTAAATCATTTAACAGGTTCATATTATACTGCCACAATGTTTACTGGAAAACATAGGTTTGAAGAAAGAAATCCAGATTACAGTAAAGTTTATATGAGCCAGCAGGCTATTAGTGTTAATGAAATTAAAGAAGTAATGAGAAGAGTTTGTACTCCACAAGTAGGAAGGTTAAATTTTGGAGGAAAATTACCTGAAACTCAACATTTATTTGCACTGTAACTAAACTGCACCATTTTAAGTGAAAATGATTGTAGTCACAGTATGTAAATATAGGTGTAAAATATTTTATTAGCTTTAACAAATATTTATACTTTTACATAAATTAATAATATAATTCTGTATTTATTTACTAGATATGTATATATGACTTTTCCTTTGATAACTGGTATCTACCAAGTTTTTATTTCACTGCTACAAGAATTAATTATAAACAATCTGAAGGTAGTTCAGATTGTGATATATATAATTTTAACCACTGTGTTTCGACTTTCTACTTATATGAATTGTCAAGTCAGTGTGCCCAGAATTATTTTTCATATTTCCAAATGGTTCTTCAAAACTGTTTATCTAAGAGAATCTGATTCACAAAAATTGATGATACTCATCAATCTGTATGTGAATTGTTCTACTTTTACACAACTATAACTGATCTACATAGATATATAGCTAATCATTTTAGGTACTACAAAAAGTGGTGCATAGGGATGAATTTGTGTTTTCCGAAATTACACAAGTAGTTTCTGAAATATTATTCAATAATTGTCTAACTTTAATTTCAATCCAAAATAACTAAAAACAAACATGTACATTATGTCTGTCCTATGCACTGTTCTAGGTTTTAGAAGATCTAGAATCTGGAAGTATACAAGAGATGTCCTAGAACTGTGTAACATAATAAATGTTTGTTATTTTTCTTTAAATAATTATTTTATTTCAATTTCTTTTGATTTTTTAAGGACTAGGTACTTCTTATCACTCAGTATGTTTTACAGGAGCCTGAAATCCTATTTAGTATGACTTATAAAATTGAAACTGGTGTAGTAACCTTGGAGTATACCGTTTTGGGTAATTTTTATTTTATAATATTTATATGAAATAAACTAAATTAAAAACATTTAATAAAATTATAAAACATTAAAAACAATTATAAAAAATGCTGTTATGTTTTGGTTGGTGACAAATATTAATAAATAATGTTCATTTTTATTTAAATCATGATATTTTGATGCTTTTTGATTAATTTTGATATTTTAAATCAGAGTAGTTTTAAGTCAACTTCAAGTACTTTGGGGGCCACCATATTGATGTGTATTTAATGAAGCACAGCATGGACATCTTAACAATTCTTTTTTTAAAATGTTCCTTGAAGTCTAAGGATGGTTTTTACGGCAAGAAAAATTCAAATAATTTCCGGGAAAACTCTAAGACAGCTCTTTTCTTTTCCCATACAAATATTTTCTAACTAAATGTAGAGTCAATTTGAACTTTATTGCTATTCAATAAAGTTTATATTAAATTACAAGCACTCACTGTTGTCTAAACAATGTAGGTGTGTTCCTAATGTCGAAGATTCAATTTTTGCTTTATTGTCACTGCACAAAGTTCAAATTCAATCAAATGTATGTGTGTGCGGGTTCGTGTGTGTGCGCGTTCGTGTATTCGCGTTGGAGGACCTACAATTCTGGACTCGCGTTCATACAAACGTGATAATATCGTGAACCCGACCAAATGGAAAAGTCAAAAAATATAAGAGCTATAGATTTGATTGGCCTCGCAATATTCTTTGATGTAAATGAATTAAATTTCAAAATTCAAGAACAAATTACAGGCGAATTAAGGATATATAAATCAGTTGATTCGGCTACTAACCAAGATGATGTAGTCAACTATCCGCCTGAATTTTTAAACTCGCTGGATTTACCAAGATTGCCTCCTCACAATCTTCAATTAATGGTTGGATCGGTAGTTATAATGTTAAAAAATATCAACCAACCGCGTCTTTGCAACGGCACAGGGTTAGCGATAAAAAAATTATTGAACAACTTGATAGAAGCAACTATACTGAAAGGAAAGTATAAAGGAGAAGATGTTTTAATACCACGCATCATAATGATTCCGACTGATATACCATTTGAATTTAAACGACTACAGTTTCCAGTGCGGCTTGGTTTTGCTATGACCTTAAATAGGTCCCAGGGACAATCATTAGGTGTTTGTGGTACTAATCTAGAAAACCCATGTTTCTCACATGGTCAATTTGTATGTTGCCTGTTCCCGTGTTGGAAAACCATCAGATGTGTTTGTATATTCACCAGGTAATCAAACATATATCATAAAGTATCTACTACAATAAAAAAAAAACAGATTTTTGTTAATAATTATGATTTACATGCTTTACAATAAAAAGATTACTGAAAATACTTACTATACGTTTTATTTTATTATTCTTTATTACATCGGTTATTAACCCTATGTTAATAATAAATAATTAATTATCTCTATGTTTTGTCATTGAAGCACCCACTTTATAATTATTTGTCACCTTTAGATTATTTTTCAATCAGGTTTGAACCTTAAGTTCTCTTAGATTGAAGCCCTCTTGCAGATATCCCAGTCGGGGTTTTCAATGAGTTCAAAAGGCTGGCCAAAGTTCATCGAGGCGAAGATACTTAGGTCACCCGAGCTGACCTCACACACCGCCCTATCATCATGATGACGGTTCTGTTCAGGAGAATTAAAGAAATAAACTGCCACATTCCAAATCTATTTGACAGAACGAAGTCTGTCGGGTCCGCTAGTTTACTTATAAAACTAACATGTATAGGACCGGGTTGTAAATAATAACAACAGTATAGGAATTACTACCAACTTCAATTATCACTCCAAAACGTAATGCAAATAAATATACATTAATTAAACAATCGTCCCGTCTGTCTCGTCCTGAGTTTCTTTTCCAGCTGATTGTGACGTAACCGCACTGCATGGTTGCCAATACACCACACTCCTCCCTCCTGGATGAATCTACTCATCATAGTCCTCCACATAACTTGGAGGTTTTCTTATTCAAGCAGGTGGCTTTTTAACTTCAGCGGCCTGCTCTACAATTTCTGGTTCTGGGTCCCCAAATTCATTTCGATGCAGAAACAGCGGTTGCGGAGTTAAGAGTAATTTTGTTTACATCGAGGTTACGGTGTAACTTCGTCTTTTATTTTTTGGTCACACACACGGGTTCTGATTTGGTCAGAATGACGACGTAAAATTTTACCATCAGGGGTTTGAACTTTGTAGCTTAACGGTCCAGTGGTTTCAATTATTTCGGAAGGAAGCTACTTTTGACCACTTGGAGCAAATGACCTTACAAATACAGTCTCGTTTTCTTGAAAACATCTGGGTACTGTTTTGTAAGAATTTTTCACCTCTTGCTCAGATTACATCTCTTTTCTAAAATCGGGCTGTAAACGATCAAATAATGAGCCCAATTTTCGCCCCAATAATATTTCTGATGGGCATCTCCTTGTACAATGGGATGTAATGTGCTGAGTAAGGAGATATCTGTACAATACTAACTGTATTTTAGTTTCTTCAGTACTATCCGATATTTTTTTTAGTGCATTTTGTATCATGCGTTCCGCTTGCCCATTACTACTATGGATACTACGGTGCAACCAATGCTTGTCTTCTCTTCTCATGGCGCCGTCTCCTTTCGAAGGTTGGCGATCAAATGGCAATTGTGGTTTTGGAAACTGCTGCGCGAAAGATTTCTGCGGATGAGCGGTCGAACCATCTCCTCAGGTCTTTCAGCCATGGAGTTCTGGCGTCTTCCTACTGATCTTTTGCCCTGTACTTTTCCTTCCAGTATAACTTGAAGTAATTCATATTTTTCGCCTCTCAACACATGACCCAAGTATTGCATTTTCCTCTCTTTGATTATTCTTAGTAATTCTTTTTGTTTACACATTCGACGAAGTACCTCAACATTAGTAACTCTTTGCATCGATGGAATTCTCAGCATTCGTCTGTATATATACATCTCAAACGCATCTATTCTTTTTCTATTTCAGAGTCCATTGTCCAACTTTCACAGCCATACAGTAAGACAGAAAAAACGTAACATCTAATCATTCGGATTGTAAGCTGCAGACTAAGGTCTGATCTTGTAAAAAATGTTTTCATGCTCATTAATGTTTTCCTTGCTTGTTCGATTCTTGATAGTATTTCTTTTTTGGATTACACTGACTATTAATATTTGCTCCCAAATATTTTATGGAATTTACCTGTTCTATCATTCGACCCTTGGCATACACATTTACGTTTATTGGTGTCTTTAAAAATACTAAAGTTTTAGTTTTAAAAACGTTTAGATGTAAACCGAACATTTCGCTGTGGTGAACTACCGCATTTATTATATTTTGTAGTTCTTGTACGTTGCTTGCTATTAAGACAGTATCATCAGCATATCTGATCTTGTTTATGCTGATTCCGTTAATCTTAATTCCGCCTTGGACCTGGTCTAATTCTTCTCTGAATATAGACTCCGAATACAAATTAAACAGTAGCGGTGATAAGACGCAACCCTGTCTCACTCCTCGTCGGATTTGTATATCTTCGGTTGTTGCGTGCTCTATTTCAATTGTTGCCGAACAACTCCAGTTGTTTTCAGAATTTCGATCATCTTTTGATGGTTAACACAGTCAAATGCTTTTCGATAGTCAATAAAACATGCATATACATCTACATTCATGTCTCTGCATCGTTGCGTTAACACATTTAAAGCAAAAAGAGCCTCCCGTGTTCCCAATCCGTTTCGAAATCCGAATTTAGTGTCACTCATCTGGAACTCGCATTTGTAAATTCGTGTATGGATAATTCTGAGAAAAGTTTTAAGGACATGAGACATCAAGCTTAATATTCGATAATCATCGCATTGTGAGGAATTCGATCTTTTTGGTAATGCTACGAATGTTGATTTTAGCCAGTCTGTTGGTATTTTACCTGTGTCATATGTCTTATTGAATAGTGTTGTTATTAAGTCTAGGCTTTTACTTTCGTTATCTGCAATTAGTTTTAGTAATTCGACATTGATATTGTCTGGACCGGTGGCTTTTCCGTCTTTCTAAGATTTTATTGCGTGAATCACTTCTTTTTGGTTATTTCTGGGCCTTTTTCATTTATTCGATTATCTGTGGATGGTGGAGAACAAGGTCTATCGTCGTCAAAAAGAGTTTGTATATATTCTTTCCATCTCTCTACTTTGTCTTCTGGTATCGTATTTTTCCTGAAGTTGTTCGATTTCTAGGCATTTTGTTGAAATCCAGTTTTCTTTCGCCTCCCTGTACTTT